AGCATTTTTGGAAATTCCAAATTGACAGACACCAAGGACCTCGTTTGTCTCCATCCTTTAAGGTATTATCCGAGTCCATGTATCCCTGGGATGTTTTCCAGAGGGCACAGGCAGGACAAAGCCTCCAGCCCCTGTTCCATGCCATGGCCAAAACACTCTGTACTCCTGGCACTCATGTTTTAAATAAAAAAATCAGGATAATCAAGGAATTGGAGGAGGAACGTTTTTACATGTATAAATGCTTAAAAAAACGAGCTGCAAGTTCTGGAGGCCGAGTGTATCCACGTTTTACCTCTAAGGGGTTTATTTGTTTCGGGACTAAGTCTGTATATATATACACACACACATTTATATATATATATTTAGAAAAAATTAAAAAAAGGGAACCTCAGTGAAGTATACAAAGCCCTGAAGGGAAGTACAAAGACGAGATGCAGAACAGGCAGAATCAGTGGGGTTTTGTTTAAATCTCCAAGAGCAGAAGTTTGCATAGGCAGTAGATCCGAGAGATCCCAAAGAGAAGCTGGAGGGACACCCGGAGCAACTGATGAAGTTTATATAAAGTTTCAGCATTTAAAAAAAAAAAAAAAAAAAAGCATCCAAATTCCTGTTTTTGAACCCAAGTCGGAGCACGGAAGGTTGAAGGTTAATTCCTGCGTTCCCACCTCCATCAAAACAAAGCACTTCACTGGACATCAATCAGGTGTCAGGAGGGGGTTTATTTGGTATGTGGTGTTAGTGGGGCAGAAGCTCGTGCAAGGTTAGAACAGTAACCTGGGAGAAATTAAGTTTTTATGTGGATTTTCCATTTTTCTCTCCTTTTTTTTTTTTTTTCTTTTATTTTTTTTTTTTGCATCCTCAGCTCAAAGAGCTGCCTGGCCCTTCTGCCCACCCTTAATAAAAATAAGGAAAGACAAGAAAATAATACGGCATTTCCAAAGGAATTGTGAAGCAAAGCTCAGCACCCTGTAACTCCTATCACAAAATTGAGTCACCCAAGGGTGAGGGCAGGAGGAAGAGGAGGACTCAGCCCACACCTGCTCCTCCTCCCTGGAAGGTGGATGCAGACACTGGAATCAGAGGGGATGGGCGATCGGAATGTCACACAAACCCAGGGGTTTGAACTGTTTGGGTCTTTAAATTCTTTTTTTTTTTTTTTTTTTTTTTTAATAGATTTTTACATATAAAAAGCAAAGCTACAGATAAATCTTTAGGTACTGTATGTATTTGTCTACATGTAACAGGTGAGGCTGCACGTTCAGGACCTCAGGCACCCCCACCCCCTCCATATTTACAGGGTAAATGACAATAAATACAGAGCTCTGTACTCCAGGGGGCCAAAGGTGGAATAAGGGAACATCCTCATTCTGGAAACCCCCCCAAAATCGCTGGAAAAAGGTATATAAAGGTCCAATTGTGACATACTGGGTGGGTTCTTACAGCTTTTTAAATAGGGGAAGAGAAGGAAAAGAAACTAAAATGCAAACCAAGATTTTTACAGGTTAATAAAAGTGTTCCTGCACGACCCACTCTGCTCTTCCCACATTTGAGGGTTATCCACACTCACTGGCTAGAGCAACAAAGTCCCACTAACTCCCCCAGTCCAAGGAGCAGCAGCAGTGATGCCGGCGTGGCCTCACAGAGGATTTTAGGAAAAAAAACGTGTTCCCACACTGCTGAGGAAACCCCCAAACCAACCCAGCAGGAGCCTGGGAGCTGCTGGAGGCTCCCAGAGGAGACGGTCAGCGTGAACTGCGGGTGATGGATGCAGAGAGGATGTGGCGATTGAATGTCTGCAAGGAACTGAGGAGCAGAGAAAAGAGACTGAACGCCATAAACCCGGGATGCAACTGGAATCAGGGAATGAACAGAGAACCAGCTCCTGCAAGCGCCAGGATCGAAGCTCCCACCGCACTCCACCAAATCCCGGCACCCAGCACCTTAAATCCTTCCAGATGATTTACTTCACGGGGGTTTATGCACAATATGCTTTTAATTCCTTGGCTGGGTGGAACCACGCTTTTCCTTAGGGACCACCAGGCCTGCAGGAATGCTCTCTGCCCCACAGGGAGGAAAATAGCACCTTGAGTCATTTGGCTTCTGGGTTGTCTTTTGTGGCAGGTTCCAAGGTACCACTGCCACAGATATCGTAGAAAACTGCTCGATGGCAAGGAAGGAGTGAGGTCTTCAGCTTTTTTTTTTTTTTTTTAATTATTATTTATTTATTTAAAAAAAGCACCAGAAGCAAAGAAGTGAAGGTAGAACAAGCTGCGTCTCAGGAACAAAGACACTTCCAACACACGCTGTTACTGTTATTTAGGTGTAGCTGGAAGAAGGCAACAGTGGCCGATATGAACAGGGAGAATCCAACTACCTGGAGCGGCCCCACAGAGTCTGAGGAGACTCCGGGAGAGAAACCTGGTTCTTATTTAAAGAGAAAATGCTTTTATTCGAAAATTTACACGGAACCAGCGCAGCTGAAGGTTTTTGTCGTGAACTAAGCAGGCGTTTGCTACACCTACCAGTGACGAACGAGAGTGTTTAGATTGGCAAGGAAGAACAAGGTACCCGGGTGAAATCCTGGCCCCACCACAGTCCACGGGACGGGAGCAGCAAGGTTCCACCCCGCTGGGATCTCCTCACCTTGGCTTCCCGCCTTTCCCAGCTCATCCTGCACGTGGCCCAAATGCCTCGTTTTTGCTACGGTTTGCATATATTTACGAAAAAGGCAGCTGAGCAAAGGGGGAGAAGTGGAGATATTTGTGGAGAAGAACGACAGGTACAGAATACCTGTGCCCTCTGGAGCAAAAGGTGCTTCCGGAAGCACCAACACGCATTTCGGCGCCCACGGATAACCAAGGCTGGAAGACAGGACGTGGGGAAGATGCCAGTAGGTCCAAGAAAAAGTCACAATCTGTCTTTGATGGTGATTCTTTTGGAAGCTAAGAATCTCAGAGAAGTATTCGTAAGGCTGTAGTCTGACTTGCCTTTTGATCGATTTGGCTCCGTAAAAAAAAAAAAAACAATATAAACTCTTTAAATAACTTTGCAAAAGGCTTGTATCGTCAGGGGGTAGCCCTCCAACGCATGCATCCATCTGCTTTCACAACGTTAGCTTGGAATTCCACTGCTGCTGGGATTTTAGCACACAGAAGGTGTTAAAAAAATCCCTAACCAACCTGCTTCGGACAGAAAAACCTCCCCGGTGCTCGGTTCGGGGTGGGAAGGGGAGGAGGATTCATGCTTCACCCAGCCTGCCCACACCTGCAGCAATTCCATCTCCCTCACATGCATCCCGGCTGGCTCAGCTGGAGGGGTGGCTGCGGGTGGGGGTTCCCAGGGGGAGAAGGGGGTAAAAAAGGGAAGGCGAAGTCAGTCGTGCCGCTGGAAGCGACACTGCTAAGACAGTGTCTGAGTGGAACAGAGAAGGACTTGTTTAGAAAACACGAGAGTTATTTTGCACACATGGACGACAACAAGGCTACTTAAGTTTTTCCAACGTACTCCTTCCTCCCCGCCCTCCCTCCCCCTACAAACGAC